TGGAGTTAGGCTGGGATGACCCTCTGTCACTCCTACTCAGGCTGCACCAGTCACACACATAAACCTTTTGGGGAAGAACAACTCCCTCCTGTGCCTGAGTGTGCTGCAGTTGTGAGTGAAGCCAAATGCCATTGATTTAAAAGGAAAGCAGAGTTGAAAGGGTCAGTGACCTCTAGCTTGGAAAATTTGGAGTCCAGTTTCAAGGCATGAGACAAAGCTGAAAGATTGAAACAGACTGATTTCAAAGGGGAAAAAAATGAATATCGTGAGAGTAAATTATGCTCTGATTTACCACATGGTATAGTCTGTTGTGGTAAAGAATAACTTAATTTGTTATTATGCTTATGGCTTAACTTCAGAGAGACACTGGCAGGTAAAGAAAGATAAAAAGAAAACTATAGGCCTGTATGGGAAAGTCTGCCTGATGTAGATTGGAAGGGAAACCTGATGGCAGTGATGCTTGGCTATATGAAACTAGGAACGTGAACTGGACCTCACAGTATAATTAGAGGATGTAAAGAATAGAGATGAAACTTTAAAATCTTAAGAAGATGTGATGTCGAAGGCTACAAAGGTGTAAAACCAGAAGAAATATATAAAAATTGAAGTTCTGGATAGATACTTTGTTTAAACAAAACCTGAATGAATGAGCGATTCCTTTTCTTTTATGTGATAAAGACAAGGTAGGAAAGCAGGTTAACTATCTAGAAGAACAAACCAAATTAACTTCATACATTTGTTAAAAAACTACCAAAATATAGGTCAAACATCTTTTCTTCATGTGCAGATGTGCTCTCAGATATTTAATTTTATTTTAATGAATGTTTTACAATATGCAGCAGGGTGCCCAATGATAGGGCATTAACAGTGTTTATAGAAGGAATCTGGGTCCTGCAGAAAATACTGAGAACTTTGTATAATACAAACAATGGTTACATCAAAAATATATTTTAATTATAATAATAAAAATAAAATACATTTATCCAGAATCTACTTTCAATGTATTTTTCTTATTTTAAAAAGTATTTTACCCTTCCCAACATCCATGCGCAACACACACAGGCACAATAACAGAGTGCATAACATCTGAGAATAGGTAAGGAAAAGTGATCATGAAAAACTTTCTGCAGATTTTAACAAACTTTGGATTAGGCCCTTTGACAGTAACTACATTATGTGACATGGGCATTTGCCTTTGGACCTGCAGGCTTGGTCAAGTAATTACATCTGGGAAATACAGTTTCTGTTTCTTCCCGGGTCTTTTGTGGTCACATTTTTGGAAGATCAATTTGGACAGTACTCATTTAAATGTTTCCTTACTTCATAGTAAAAGAGGGATGAAAATGGCCCACAGAAATCTCTGGAGGAATGTATGAATTCAATCATAGCGAGAAATGTCAATTAGACCCTTTCTGCTATGTACTTACAAGGAGGTAACCTTGCCAACACTCAGGAATACATTTTAGGTCCTTCTCAGCACATTCCACAGTCTTGTACTTTATCTCTGGATTTTTTAAGATGATAGAGCCATAAGGAGTGGAACTATACTTAGAAAAAACATCTAAGATTATTTGTTTCCATAATCTTAGGACCTATGATTCTGAGAACAGCACTAAATATCACAAATCTTGTGGTGAAGTGGAAGAGATGTCAGCGCATAGTGACACAGATAGCACCATACGGTGAGGCCATATGTTACTTTCCATGAAGTCACTACCTTTCTTTTGCTAGAAATAAGTGTGTGGACAACATATTTAACAACCATTTCTCAATAATACTGACTGGCAGCAGCTACCTTATGACAAGCAGTCATCTTCCCATGCTGCTTTATTCAAGGGATTTCCCAAACTATTTTACCTATGACTCAGTTTCATAGGGTCTGGAAAATAGAAATAGCAACAGTTTAAAGATCCTACAGAAGGACTAAAAATAGGGGTCATTTACAACAGTGGCTGAGGTGAACAGAGTAAGAATCCATGTGTACAAAATGTACTAGTGACACAGTCAGTTCTATGTGACTGTAGTCCCCTGTGCACATGTACTCATTACTTTCTTACAGATAACAATTTCCCTCATCATAAATACTGGTCTTTTAGTAATACAATATGGCATCATCAATGCACTCATCCTTTGTCAAGCAGTATATTTTCATATGGTGCATATGCACAAATTTCTTACAATGACAATGGGCACCAAGATAAAGGCAGACAAAAAAAACTATAGCAAAGTAGGACAAGAACCACCTCTTTGCTTGATATTTCATTAGTAAGCAATGCACAGCTGCATTACTCATGTCTCAAAATAATACAGTCACCAAACACAACTGAGTGTGGATTGAGTAAGTCTTTACCTCGTGGTGATAAAGCAGGACCTTCACCCCCTAGTTTAAAAGGATGCCTGTTGCATATATCGCCTCAAGGCTCAACAGATTCAACAGAGAGGATGACAAAAGATATCCCTCCAACTTGTTTTTCAAATCTAGTTATTAACATACTAGGTTTGGATCTCTTGAGAGAACTTCAAGCTCTGTTTTATGCTGAATAAATCCATTTAGTGGATACGCCAATATCCCCTAAATATTATAACTTATTTGCTGGGGGACTGAATGCAACCTTTGCATTACAGCTACTACAAACAGACTGAGCCCAGCAAAGAAGAAAACAAAAGTGACCTGTTAAGATGGAGCTTGTATAGTAAGAAGTTGTCCTGGTTTTCACTAGGATAGAGTTAATTTTCTTCTTAGTAGTTAGAATAGCTGTGTTTTAGTTCCAGTGTAGAACTTGTTATGAGAAGAACACTGATAACAGTACTGATGTTATTAGTTGCTGCTGGAGCTCAAGGCCACCGTGTTTGGCTGGTTCCCAGCTGCATTAGGACTGGGAGGGAGAAGCGCAGTGAACAGCAAACCCCAGAACTGGCATTTGGATGTGCCAATGAGATATTCCATCTCATATCCCCTCATGTCAGTACATTAACCAGGGCTGACCGGAACACGGGGGGATTCTCTCGGGGATCGCTCGGGCTCTCACTCTTCTGGGGTTTTGGTTTCAGGACTGTCTCTGCTCTGGGATCACTGGCTGGCACAGGCCGGGCATCGGTCAGCGTGTGGTGAGCAACTGCACTGGGCATCACTCATTTGTATAGTCTGTTATCACTGTTGTTATCATTATCATTTTACTTTAATTAGTAAATTGTCTCAACCCGTGAGTCTCCTTGCCCTTTTCTTTCCAATTCTCTCCCCTTCTCCCTGGGCGAGGGACGGGGAGGGTGAGAGAGCAGGCTGGGTTTGGCTGCAAGGTGCAAGCCAAAAGGGTGAATCCACCCAAACCACCACAGAAGTGTGGACTGGCCTTGGCTGGGAGCTAGGCAGGGAGAACAGGGCACCACCCCAGCTCATGCCCACAGCTTTAACTAATGGAAGGAGAAGTTACAAAGTTTCAAATTCTTTCTGCACTGTGTAATCAAGAAATGTTCAGTCAGCAAGGTGTACAACCCCTGTAAGACATGTCAGCCATCTCAAGGCTTCCCTAAACTGGAACACTGAAGTGGGAAGCAAAGTTAGACCATCTCCAATAATGCTATACTGACCCATCTTTAGGTCACTGACTGCAGAAGTCAAATTTATAGAATGACAAGTAATTTGAATTCACATCTCATTATTTTTAAAAACTTTTCCTGATAATATCAATGTTAACTACTATAAACATTACTACTGTGGCATTAAAATTCTGTCTATAAACACTTCTCTTTCAATAGTGTACTCATGGTAATCAAATAGCAACCAGCTACTCTCTCTTTTACTGCAATACTCTTCTATTATAGACCAACGTGGCACACCAACCCTTCCATAAATGTGTTAAATAGAAGGTATTTTTGCTCCCATAGCTCCTCCTGGGAAGCTGTTCCAGACTCTGACTCTCCACACTGGCAAGGTAAACAATTCGGCTCTTTTCACTTTGTTTCACAAAAGACAGGCCCATCAATTTATTTGATTCTCTTAATGGCCCTGCGGGGTAAATTATCCCAGTTTCTGTTCCTGTTAGCGAACAAGTGTGTTAAGAATTGCACTCCGTCTTCTAGATAAGGTCTTACAAGTGTCTTGTATATGACATTGGTAATTCCTTATCTCTACAGGCAATGCCAGAGGATGCATCTTAGGAGTGTATTTATTTGCCTTTTTAATACATGCATTAGAAAGGTGGTTTATAATAATCCTGTTATCACCCAATAAAGCCCCATTTTGACACCCTCTCTCAGCAATTATTACTACTGGTTATCAATGACACTCTGCACTACTGCATTTCATCCCATTTCTGTTTTTCATGTCTTCATAATCACTAGATTTTTCCTGTTTGGCATTCTGAACCTACTTGATCATGGTAATGATCTGCCCCCTTTCTGTTATTGGTACAGTTCTATGTTGTTGTTAGTGTCATTATTGACAGCATTAGAAAACTAAGCCATAAGGAATTCCATAAATCTCTTTCACTCCAGTTTCTTTACTGCCATATTTCCGCATTATTCCAGAAAACTGATGTAAAACAATTAGTTATAACGTTATGAACAATACTGTATATTGCATCTGCAGAAGTAATTTATATGGGGTAGTAGTGCAACATGTGAATATTTTTGTCAGACTGACAGAGATGCCTGGTGAATGACATGGGTCAACAGGAAAGATAAAGTACCTTCAGCTGCTTATAAAAGGTGCAACTCAGTTTTATATTCTTTCATATTAGAAACAAATCCAAATCAAACAAATAACTGCTGGAAATTATGCAACCATTTGCTAAATAAATCCATATCCATCCAGCTATACTGGCAACACGCAGGCAAATTTTACGAAGTCATTTCAATTCTTTCCATCAAAATACTCAGTTAAATATTCATCATTGCCTTGAAAGTTCTATGTTTCATTCTACAATGAAATACCAACATACACATTAAAAAGTATCCCAAGGAGAGGACTCCTATCAGACTTTTAATATCCTCCTACTAACCTTAGGTGGTTTAAAAGGATAGTCCGGTGAAAAGGTAATGTCAAGGAAGAAAACTCCACCTTCATATACAGACCCTGGAGGCCCAAGTATAGTTGACCTCCATTCATAAATGTTGTCTCCTTTGGGTCCAGCACTAAAATAGAAAACAAAAATATAACATAATAACCACATAAAATCAAGAATATATTGCATCAGTTCTAGTCTAGTAGTAATACTGCTGGTTTTGCAATGACACTACAAGTTAAAATTGTGTATCACATTCATAAAGTTAGTCCTGGATAAAACATGTAACTGGTGTCCTAAGCTTTGTCAGTGAAGTGATATATTCAGCCAGGGAGAAGTATTAAAATCACATTATAAATTATTCAAATAAGCACAGAAAAATTCCTGGCTGTCTTATCTCAAATATTTTAGTGAGCAGATGTGAAGTATTTACAGTACAAGGATACAGAAACTTTGCTGAAATGTCTTGTCACTGTCTTGCCTCACAAGCCATCCTATTTTCACCTACCTCCTCATCCACCTACCTCATCAGTCAGTAGCAGTGTAATTACATACATTATTATACAGCATAGACTGTACTAAAGACTGAGCAGGGTACCAACGACCTTGCAGCTGCACTTTCTAAGTTACTAACCTAAGGTCCCCAGTCACTAGTACAGAAGGTTGCTTTACTCTTCAATTGTTACTCTATCTTAAAAATACTATGAACAGGAAGTGGGTTAAACTGTTGGATTATGTTAATTCAAAGTCCTCATTTCAAAACACAGTACTGAAACAATATTTAAAATGTACAAAACATATTCCTGTATGTGAAACAAGAAAAATCTTTCACTCACATTAGTCAATTCCTGAAAAAATAAAATTAAAAACTAATAAAACATTCTTGAGCATGACTCTTCCAAAAGCCAACACAGCCTCTTTCATACAACACAATGCTTGTCCACAGAAATACATATTTTACTCAGGGTGGCCTCTTAAGGAATATGGAGACTAGTTTTCAGTTCACAGCCTGCTGATACCCGTCACTGATACAGGACCTGAATTTTAATTAGGATCAGTTGGGACGGTGACTTCTAGATATCTGATTAATATTTCTCAGAGGAAGGCAGTGCTGGTAGATATTTCAAATAAGTGATGTGGTATTGTCTTAAGGCATTTCTTGTGAAACAATTCTTGTTATGTTTGCAATAAAGATTTCCACAGCATGCAGGGGTTTGTGAAATAACCCCATGTGTAGAACAGATGAAAGCTCTTGGCTATCCTCCATGCCGCACAATGTACCCAAGGCATACAATTACTATACGACATCATGTCATGTTCACTGCTCAACTATTCATTTTGTTCGCTGAAAGTTAATAAAACCCTCTTTCACCTGAAATTCCTTGGGCTCCCTTCATTAAAACTTCTTACTGCATGATTCCCTGCATACAGCCCTGTGACTTAGTACTGTGCAGTGTACTTCATTAGTCATGGTACCTACATCAATTTTCTATAAAAGCTGTTAATGCTTCTTGGCTTTCTAAACTACATGCTTTCTTAACAAAAATGGGTTACAGAGACTATAACATTACGGAGCATTCATTTTCTATCAGCCATAGTAACAAAACTAGCAACTGTTTTAAAGATAAAATCTGGCTTTTTAAGTGTCACAATAGCAGAAGTGTTGCCATCCATATTTCACAGTGTCTATAATATATCAGGTTGCTAGCTGCCAAACAAATTTAATTTACCCAGTTCTCAGTTTGCATTAACCTTTGAATAATAAAGCACAGCTGAGACTGCTGTAAGAAACAAACCAGAGAATGAATAATTAAAACCACCTCCACTGCCTTTAGAAAGACCAATCCCGAGTCAACAGGGAAGGTTTAATTGTGACTGAACTAGGCATTGAGGGGCTAATTGAACTCTTTATAAGCCCAAACGTATGTGGGACTACATCAGTGCTACGGTACAAAAGGTTAACAGAAAGTAAAACCCTTAAAATAAAAAAATCAGGCAATTAGTTCAAATAGAAAAGGCAAGAAGCAGGGGCAGTCTAAACCTTACATGAAAAAAGCCCATAATATGCCAAGGAAATCCTCTCCCATTTTCTGCAGAAAAATGTTCTAATATTTGGAGAAGCAATGACTCAGTTAATGCCAGCAGGTTAAAATGGAAATGATACAAATGTCAATCTCAGAGAAACTGTTGGAAACAGCAAGGAACAAAAGCAAGCCCTGTCTTTATTAGACCTCATTTAGCCTGGAGAGGATGGCTGGGCCCTTTCTGGGTTTGAGCGAGGCTGACTTTTTTGATCAGAAGTCTCTCTGGTAGTGGTATTTTCCTAATGTATTTTATTTTTATTTGTTTTGCCTATTTATTTAATTGCATTAACATTTGAAATGAGCAGTCATTAATTAGAATAGTTGGAAAACGCTCCATCTGCCAGTTGAACTGTTTCGGCACGTCCAGCTACAAGCCCAGCCTGATCACATTCTGAGGATGCTGATTAACATTAATTGAAGGTTTTCTTTGCAAATGAGAGATGAAGCTTTATTAAGTATCATTATTAATCTGAAGAATAGCTTGAATTGCATGGAGTGTGGGAAGACTTCTGTTATCGACGTTGCTGGTTAGAGTGCTTGCTGGCAGCAAGGCTGTTCAGCCGATGTGAAACCCTGATCCATGTGCACAGGCAACAGCTGGCATTAAGGGCAACAGCACGCACAAGCATAACATTTTTTCACTTGCACATTAATAATACAAAAAGTTTGACAGGTGTATTATCTTTGTTTTCCTTCTTTCCTAATTGTTAAGCCTTTTTTTTTTTTTTTTAATCCACATTATTGGCAACAAGAATGACGACTCGTCAGGCTTCACCAGAGGAAATTCCCATATGTGCAAGACCTCAGCCAGAGCCTTATTCTATACGGTTTATAATGCAAGAGGATTTAATTGCCCTTCTCTCTACATGGATATCTGCCCGGCACACTGAAGCCCAAATGTTTTACATTCAGTATGATTTATATTCCGGCTCTATTAACGTTACTGGCAACCAAACCACAGATGTCAAAGAAAGCAAAGCAAACATCTCAGTGCCTGAAGTTCTGTTATCTTTGGAAGGAGAGATTCAGATGTGCACCTGCTCGGCAAAGGGCAGGCTAAATCTGTCCTGAACTCAACTGACCCAGGGCCAGAGCACACGCATGGTGCCTGCTACTAACCCGCTGCAAAATCTGTCAGCTTCAGGGGAGAAATAACGGTGGCTGTGGCAGCTCCAGGTGGAAGTGGCTGAAGCGTCAGGATAAGGTAGTTAGGAGA